CATTGGGCCTGAACTGAAGTCTTAATAACTCTTTAATGAATTTGCTTTTGTAGGCATCAGAAAGGCTCTCTGCATTGGTCACAGTGCAGAGATACATGCCAAATAGTGTTCAGTAGCAGTCAAGATGAATTAGGGAAGAGTAGATGTTAGGAGAAAGAACTCTTCAGTTATAACCCACTTGCTCCACCACTGAGAACACTTGGTAGTTTTCAGGACAGGAGGACTTTGAAATGCTAGTGTGCTATGAATAGCCAAGGGGAGTATAGTGTACAGCGTTTTCTAAACATATATTTTACCATGCAAAATCTTCTCTCCCCAAATCTACAGTGCCTATTTCATTTTTAATCCTCACAGGAGGATATTTTTCCATTGACTTTTAGAGAGAGTGGAAGAGAGAGGGAAAGACAGAGAGAAACATTGATGTGAGAGAAACATATCGATTGGTTGCCTCCTGCATGCCCATACTGGGGATGGAGCCCCAAACCGGGGCATGTGCCATGACCTGGAATTGAACTTCGACCTCCTGGTTCATAGGTTGACGCTCAACCACTGAACCACACCAGCCGGGTGACATTTGCTTTTTAATATTCCCCTTGATTTCTGTTTGGCCTTTCCTGCCAAGAGACAACTTAATTGATAGTGAACCCAGCTTTGTCTTTTGAGATGTGTGTGTGTGTGTGTGTGTGTGTGTGTGTGTTCAGTCAAGTTTGGTTGATCTGGCTTTTTCTGAGCAATTGGATGAGGTCAGAATAGGTCAGGAAACAACTAAACTAATGGTCAAAGAAGAGCAGAGCAGAACAGAGCAGAAATATTACATCTTGGACTCAGCATGATGTAATATTTCCTAATGTTATATTATTTATAACTAGAGGCCCGGTGCACGAAATTCAGGGCTGATCGGGGCCTTCCAGCTGCTGGCTGGGGCCTTTCTTCGTTCCACACTGCCCCCTGATGGTCAGTGCACATCATAGTGAGCGATTGAATTCCCAGTCTCCTGGTGGAACTCCTGAGGGGATGCTTTGCATATTAGCCTTTTATATATATAGACGATTGTAACATAGTGTTATAGTACAATAATGCCAAGTCTCCATCTGCATTTTAAATTCATTCCTAGAGGAGGATGCTTTTATATTGCATCTTGTAGAATTAATATGTTTTCAGAGGTTGTGATGCTATTGGTACCTTGTCCACATCTTATTTATCATGCTGATGCTGTGAATGATGGCTGCTAATGGCTCAAGGGTGCCCTTTTTTCAGAGAATTGTTCTCAGCCAAATGGGTCCTCCTTGCCTGGGATGTCATATCCCCACTGCCTCTTGGGGGCAGCCATGGTCAATGACTGAGTAACAGAAATATACAAAGGCCAGCCCTTTGTCTCAAGGTGGTATCACCAGGTGATAGGATCTGTGTTCCAGAGCTCCCCATGGGTGGGACCAATCTGAAGCCAATTCCAGCTGAGACCACATCCTCACTCCTTCCCTTGACCCTCCTGCTTCTCTGACTCCTCCTGAGGGCACTCTCCACAACCATGTTGACAAGAACCTCTATCTCAGGCCCTGCTTTAGGGACTTTTACCGAAGACAAAGACATTATTATTACTCCCCCTCCCCCATGGTTGCTACCGAACAGATTGACAGTGAATGATTCATAGACTCTGCATTGAATGTATAAGGAAACTTGAAGTTTTAGGCAATGAAATCCAGCCATTTTGCAAAATATTTGTATAGAAAACATGAATTCATTTAATATGCTGTGTCTTGTAATTGAATGCCAACTAAAAACATTTAGTTAATTTAAAAACATTTTTTTAATCTATTTGTAAATGGAAGAATGGAGTTCCTTGGAAAAACTTCCCTAATTTATAGAGTAGTGCATGTGGACTTATTCAAGTCTTGAAACTTCAAAAAGATTCAGATTACCACACGGAAATCCAAAACTCTCTTGAAATGAGTCTTTGTAGATAGTTAATTCAATGTAAAGACAGAGTGTCATAGATGGAATACGTTAAGTTGATGCACAATAAAGATGGGACCCCGCCCTCAACTCCCCTTGCCAAGGGCTAAGGATGGCAAGAGAGGATGTGCTTGGTGGAGGGAGTATATTTATCTAACCAAGTACAAGAGGATTCTCCTAGTCTAAGACTGAGTATTGAATCCTGTTGACTCAAAGACTGGGACATCCAGCATTGGGGTAGACAGACACACCTGACTGTCTATTTCTCTGGCGTCTCCAAGAAAGCTTGGGTTGGTCACCTTTGGCTTGTATAGGAGACAAGAATTTCCGGAAAGGCATAATCTAAGGAAGGTCAGAAAGAGTAGCAATCTCCTAGAGGCTGCTTAACCCAAGTGGCATGGGAGCCAGATCAGTTGGGGAGGAACAGCCTCAGGTGTCAAGTCCAAGGGCAAGGGCAAAGCTGAAAATAGGGAATGAGTTACAGAGTGCAGGAGCTAAGGAAATTATAATCCCATAGGCGGGGACTGAGGCTGGGGTCCAGGTGTACTTTTATTGGTCACGTTCTTGTGGCAAATATGTAGCCTTGCCAGCTCTCAGGCACAGGCAGGCAGGCGAAGCCCGATGTGAGGCTTTGTAAACCCAACTCTGCGTGTCCATTCCAACTTAGAAATCCTAGACAGCGAGAATGCCAGATTCCTTTTATTTTTAAACAAATATCCATCAGCTGGAAACTGCTAAGATGAGGTTTGATTGTTCTTGGCCATCATTATATAACCCTTGGTTCTCCTTGAAAGGAAAAAGTATTTGCTTTAATATATTTTCTGAAATGTCATTCTAAGAGCGTAACAGCAGGTGGTCTTTCCCTCGAATTTAGAATATAAAGATGACCTGTGGCTTGAAAAAGCAAACCTTCCAGTGACATATGTAGAGAACGGAGACTAGATTTGAGCAAAAAGAAAAGAGGCAGAGCAACCCTGCTCTGTTATCACAGATGACAAAGGCAGGCATGGTTTCAAGAAGTTAAAACACTCAGCAGCCTCTCCTTCGCCTCACTTCTCTTCCTCTCCTCACCTCCTTCCTCTTGCCTTTTCTCTCTCCCTGTTCCCTCCTGCCTCTATAATCCCTTTTCTTCTTTCCTAGAAGGAGCCTACTATTTGGTTTACTTTCTCATCTTTGAAAAGAACAGCATGCCTTGCGGACTGTATTTTTTTCTCTTTCTTTCTTAAGGAAAAAAGGCAGCTGCAATGTACATTTAATTCTGATAAGAGAAAAGCATAGTGCAATTCTCCGCAGCACAGAGTCTTTTTGTGTGTGATTTTTTTTCTCAAAATAAAGTCTCAGAATTGTTGCTGTGTACCTAGAATCCTCTTTAGGGTAATGATGGTGGCATTCCTCAGAGGTGAATTCATTTCCCTTACTCATTTTGAAAACACGTGCTCTGTTTGTCTTTTCACACTGGTCACAATGAGATTTAAAATAGAGACTCATCATCACCTACTTACGGGTGATGAATAGCACTGCCTTGAAAAGGCCTGGTGGAAATTTGTGTGGAAATTGAAAGTGATGCGTCAGACACAGAAGCTAAGGAGGCAGACACAAAAACTAAGTTGGAGGCCAAATTGCCTAAGTATTCTGAGCTTGGAACATGGTGAGACACTTCCCCGCCATGCTCACAGTCAGACGCCAGGCCTCACTTCCAGGTGGAAAAGTGAAATGGCTGGGTGGTATGGATCTAAGAATTAGCAGAATCTACCAAACAAAATGGTTTAATAATCCAGAGGCCTTCCTCAGCACTGTGGTAGGTTGAATGATTGACACCATTCTTCACATGTCCCTCTACCTGTGCCCTTTGGCAGGTGGCTTTAAAGTCCCTGATATCAAGGCAGAGTGAGTGCACTTCTCTATCCCTTGACATGAACTTGGCCCCCATTCTCCGGGAGGAATGCCAGTAGAAGGGACATGTCACCTCCAGTCCAAAGCCTTAAGAAGAGCTTTGTATTCTTCCACTTGTCCTTGCCGTGAGAAGAACATGATATGGTTACCCCACTGGTCCAAGGAAAGAATGAGAAATAAGGGAAAGAGAGAAGACAAAGAAACTGAGCTGAGTCTGGATCAGCTAAACCCCAAATGATCTGAAGATGTCTGACTGAGAGTAAAAGTAAGCTACATTAATTGCAAGAGTATTTTTTAACCAGCATTACTGTGGAAATCCTTGACTGACACAGCACTGATCCTGAATGTGGCCTGTTTGAAGGAAGCACGTGAATAATAGTGATGAGAAAATGAGAATGTGAGTAGATAATGGTTTTCAACGAGGAAAGCCCTTTGTGTACAGTCACAAGAGGGGCTGACATTGCTCTCATTCTGAATATTATACTCCTTAATTGGGTCTTGGTCAAGGGTGAAGGGAGTTGCAGAATCCTGCCTTCCTGACCATATTGGAAACCACAAGTTCGAGTTCAATGATGACAACTATTGGCTTCTTTGGGAAGCAACAAACATGCCATGTTTCATTTGAAAGAATATCCGATATTTAAGTAAAAAAAGACCTTTGAGATGATCTATGCCTGACAGAAGTTAAATCATATGCTACTTACAAGGCAAGCCATTCAATGACAGGTCAAGTGCATCAGTTAAAAGGTTAGAGTCTCGCTCAGCCAGTGTGGCTCAGTGGTTGAGCGTCAACCTATGAACCAGGAGGTCACAGTTCGCTTTCCTGTCGGTGCATATGCGCAGGTTGTGGGAGGCAGCTCTCATCAATGATTCTCTCTCCTCATTGATGTTTCTGTCTCTCTCTCCCTCTCCCTTCCCCTCTGAAATCATTAAAAATATCTTTAGAAAAAGGTTAGATTCTCACTGAAATTTACCTTTTAACTTTACCCCTTGTTCCCAACCCTTTCCTCTAAAGCCACATAAAATGGGCCTCTTGACTTTTCCAATGCCGTATTTTAAAACACAGCTGTACATCTTTTCCACATCAAACCCCCAGGGTTTCCCCACAATTTTATGTTGACATACCTGGAGGAAGTGGCAGGGGAAAGACTTACCCACGATCATGTGGTTGCAGACGTCACAGAAAGTGGGCTTCTTGAAGATGTGCTCCTGAAAGGCATGGGCCTTGCTGCTGCCTGGGTGCAGGCCAGCCCTGGTGGGCGTGGATGTCAGGCTTCCTGGGGCGGGAAGAGGGCTGGAGCTGGGGCTGACCTCAGCCAGCATGTCCCCTTGCAGCTTCACGTCGCTGTTGGTTCGCTGGAAGAAGTTGTCAGCACTTTTGCTCCGTAGACTCTTGGTCTTGAAAGAAAGTGATCGTTTTAGTTTCTGGAGCTGCAATGCAATGACAGAACAGACGCTCTTATGATCGATCGTGCAGACTCATGCTGGGGTGAGGCGGCTGCTCCATGCACTGCACTGTTCCCACCGACACCCTCAGCCCCTGGAGGCTCATAGAGGTCTCTGTGTGGGCGGGCTGATGTCAGTGCCAGAGGGAACTCGGCAGCCAGACTGCAGAAGGAGGTTCCTTGTTGCCTTAGCTTCTGCCACTGCTCCTCCTCCCTGCCTCCTTGAGGTCCCTCCAACGTGCTGTCAAAATATCCCATGACATTGGATTTTGATACCACTTGCCTTTAGAATTTGAATTACAGTACAAACTCTTGGGCTCAAAGGCTGGGTCTGTAATGCCGGGGCCTCTGCTGGCCTTTCTCAGGGTCACTTAGCTTCTGTTTGTCTCTTTACACAGCAAAGCAGGCGAGGCCACTGCCAAACCCAGAATCAATCTGGCTTAACCATCCAGAGAACACAAGCCAGTAACTCTCAGGCCTGCTTGGGTCTGGAGCATATGGATAAGTAACGTGTGTGTGTGTGTGTGTGTGTGTGTGTGTGTGTGTAGGACACACTGTGGAATTATCTATTTTACATTCTCTGCTCTTTCCCTTGCCCTTCTGCTCATTTTTGACCATTTGGCAAACTAGACTATTTCTTCTTTGCCTCTGGGACTCATAAAAAAGCTTGGAAAAGTTCTGACTTCCAAAAGTCTGGGGTTGGTCCAGTCCGAACCTCCAATCCAGTCCTCACATCGGAGCTAGAAGGATCTTTTGGAAACAGAGATGTGAGCATGTGTTTAAAATTCTTTACAAAGTTTCATTTCTTCTTAAATATAAAGAAAAGCTCATTGTCATGGGCTCCAGTGACCGGCACATTCTGGATCCCAAGGACAGTGTGCACCACGGTCCACCTTGCTCTGTCCAGCCCAGCCACAGCGGCCTTTTAAAAGTCTCTGGTATTTACTATGCATTTTTATCACATGCAGCTTTCCCTCTGCCCAGATAAAAGAAATGAACCACTTAGTGGCTACCTGGCCTATATGCAACAGGTCACTTTGCCTTTAGGATAGTTCACATAAGGTGATTGATCTGGCTCTGCATCAAACCCCCAACTTCTCTCTAAGAAGATCAGAAAGATGTGATGACTTTAGTGCCGGGCAGTTGACTTCAAAAACACCACAATTCTCTCCCTTTCCCTTACCCATTCCCCTTTGCAATGTGACTGTATAGCTCCTCCCAGCAAAGGGGGAGCATGTTTCCCCACTTCTTGAATCTTGTTGGTTTGGGGAATTTGATCAATGGAAAGTGGCAGAAGCGACTTTAAACCAGTTCTAGGCCCAGACCTCGAGGTGCCTTGTATGCTTCTGCCATCTCTCTTGGAACTGTGCCAAACTGCCATATGAACAAACCCAATTCAGCCTGAAGGACGATATGAGACACATGGTCCAGTCACTTCCGTCATGCAAGTGAGACCCCAGGGGCAGAGCCACCTGCTTCCCTGCAAGGACTAAAGAAGTCTAAATGAGACCAGAAGAACTGTCCAGCAGAGTCCCGCTCAAATGGTCAACCCACAGAACCATCAACTACAGAGAGGGCTAGTCTTTTAAACCATTAAGTTGGGTGTCTATTGTGTGTACACGACACCACGCTGTTCTCCTCGCTTTCCTAGTATGTGGTGGGAATGTACCTTGTTGCTCATTTGAAGTTGACTGTGGCCATGTGAGACCAACTTTGCCCTTGAAGTTCAGAGGGGAGGCCCTGCAGGGTCCTCTAGAGAAGCCCCACTGGGCATCTCCAGCCAGAAAGGGCTAGCCAGAGAAGCAGCAACATCATTCATAGAAAGGCAGAAACAGTGGGCCAGACAAGACTTTTCTTTTGTCTTATTACCTCTGCCCTACAGTCCAAACCCACCAGAGGAATTGGGGCTGTTGAAGAAGCAGGAAGAAGGACGTGCTCCTGAGTTATTTTGGAGTTTGTTGCTATATCCTCACCTAGCAACTCCTGATAGATATAGGGGAATGGAGTCATGTGCCCCTGGGACACCGCACTTGTCTGGCAGCGGACCCTCCATCTCCAGCAAAGGTAAGTGAGAGGGAGGTATGAGACAATCACTCTGAGACCGAGCCACACTGGGGTGAGGATCTGGGGCAGCAAAGGAGCAGAACAGACTTTCTACACTTCAAGTGCTTCTGGCTAGAGCTAGATGCTGGCCTAGTGTGGAGAAAGGGAGACAAATAGGAGGTACCATTGGAGTTTACTTTGAACAGATTTTAATAAAGTGACCAGGAAGTTAAGGAATCTGCTGAGATTTTGTCATGGGCTGTGCAAACGAGGGGGAGGGAGGTTTGTCAAAGCCAATGCTATCACATCGCAAAATAAAGTCATTTTCTGTCCCCCCCGCCCTAAGCTGTTCAGATGGTTCAATAAATTGGCTACCCTTATAACAAAAATAGAACAATAACACCTTCTCTGATTATATCAGGGCACAATTATGAAGGTAGCAGAAGACAACAAACATATGGAAGAGCTGAAAATTCTTTTTTTTAATGCTTATTTTAATTTTATTTTTCAATTACAGTTTACATTCTGTATTACTTTGTATTAGTTTCAGGCATACAGCATAGTGGTCAGACAGTCATATACTTTACAAAGTATTTTCCCCGATATTTCCAGTCTACACCTGGTACCATACTATGCTGTACTTCACTTCCCCGAGACTATTTTCTAACTGCTAAGCTGTCAATCACTTCACCTTTTCACCCAGCCCCCATCCCTCTCCCCGCTGGCAACCATCAGTCTGTTCTCTATATTTATGAGTCTGTTTCTATTTTGTTTGTTTGTTTATTTTGCTCTTTAGATTCCACACATAAGTGAAATCATATCATATTTGTCTTTGGGAGAGCTGAGATTTCTACATGATACAAGTGGAAGGAGGGTGATGGGGCAGAACAGGGGAGGAGGGAGCTGGGAGTGTGGAGCCAGCCTATGTGTTCCACCAGGTGATCCCTCTTCATCTTCCCAACCATTCAATGAAGAATTTGTTATGTTCCCCCTGGAGAAATGGAGGCCGAGAGAGGTTAAAAAACTTGTCCAAACCAGGCTGGTGTGGCTCAGTGGTTGAATGTCGACCTATGAATCAGGACCCATGACTGGTTCAATTCCCACTTAGGGCATATGCCTGGTTGTGGGCTCGATTCCCAGTGTGGGGCATGCAGAAGGCAGCCTATCAATGATTCTCTCTTATCAATGATGTTTCTATCTCTTTCTCCCTTCCTCTCTGAAATCAATAAAAAATTTTATGCATATGAAAAAACTTGTCCAAGGTCACACAGCGTAGGTGAGTAAACACCAAGGTTCAAAATTAAATCTGCCTTCCTCTAACCCCCATGCTGGTGAGTTGACAGAGATAGATGTAGGGATGGAGAGAGCTACCCCTCTCTCCCAGGGGGATGGAAGTACTGGTGGTCAGGGAGGGTGGGAAGGGATGCAGAGTGGGAAAGAAAATCTCCTTTATTTTATATATTTCAGATTTCTTAAAAAGAATAAAGGGGCACTCCTTGTTGATCAAAGTGAAGCATCAGGCATCACTGTCTGGTTTCTGCTGCCAATACAGGGAAGGCGATGGGTGACACCTGCAAGTGTGCAGTCTGGCCTCCCTTCTATGCTCACGTGCTGCTTTTCTCCCTTCAAACCCATCCATCACCTGCTGCTCTTTGTTCCCCGAAGTTTAGTACGATGCCAAGAAACCTGTAGCGTTATCCTTGCTCTGAGAGATGTAGCTGGAAATTGTCAGACCTTCAGAGCCTGCCTGCTTCAAAAGCGGGAGAATTGGCCTTGGAAGCCAATGTGACATTTCTTATTCAAGTGGACAGCTTAAGAGAAATGCCTCCAAGTTAAACAAAGTCTGAGCAGCGAGCTCAAAGGCACATGCTTTCTTCAATTACCCCTACAAGAGCAGAGGCCAGATGGGAAGATACAAAACGCAGAAATAGAAGCAAACTCTGATAATAGCAGATGTCACAAAATGATTAGCTTCCATACACCACTGCCACCTCCCATCTATTCTGTTTATAACAATAATGGTAAAAGGAACAGATAGTCTGGAGACCTTTACCATGTGCTAGAAATTGCTCTAAATACCTTACTCCCTGCAATCACCCCAGGAAACCTATGACTAGAGAATCATTCATTCCTTTATTAAAATAGTTCATTTAATGAATGGGCTACTACTATGAGTTAGACATAGTCCTTGGCTTTGGGGATATAGCAGTAAAATAAACAAATTCCTTCTCCTTAAGGTTTTAATGTCTAGTGGGTAGAAATAGAAAATAAATAATCGAAGATATATAATAATATGGGTAGGGGTAACAGCCGGAGCCAGGCTTTAGAAAGTAACAAGCAGGGCTTTTGGGACAGGTGACATTGGAGCAGAGACATGAAGGAAGTGAAGGTATGAGCTACTTCGGAGAAGAGCATTCTGGGTAGTGGGAAAACCCAGGGCAAAAGCCCCTACAAGAGAGCAAGGTGGGGTGCTTGAGGAACTCTAAGAGGGCAGTGTGTCTGGAACAGAGTAATGAGGGAGAGAAAGCACAGAGAGGTCAAGGGCGGGCTTCATGCTGGAATTTGCAGGTCATGCCAATGGCTTTGGAATTTATCCTAAGGGTGATGGCTTTGAGTAGGAAAGTGACAGGGCCTGATCCTTATTTCAAAAGGGTTACTCTGGCTACTGTGTGGAAAATAGACTATAGGAGGGCATGGTGGAAGTAGGGAGACCAGACTCTTGCAGTTATCCTGGTAAGAAGTAATTTTGGCTTGGCCTAATATAGTAAGATGTGGTTGAATTTGGGGCACAATTTGAAGGTAGAACCAATTGGATTTATTGAGGGACTGGATGAAAGGATGAGGAAAAGAGGAGTCAATAATGATTTCAAGAATTTGGGCTTGAGCAACTAGATAAATGGGGGCCACTTCTTGAAAGAGGGGACACTGGAGAAGAAGCCAGTG